ATGTAAGTGAGACTTTCATTTTAAAGGTGCTTATAAGTAAGATTATGAAGTTTTCATCAATGTTTAAAGTCAGACATGACAGACGTATTTTTGAACACATTAAAACCTTCAACCTGTTGATGATTTAAACCAATTTGCTGTGATCTTATTGAATACTGTGAACCGATAAGCTTACAGGACAGGGAAATAAAGGAAACTTCTTCCATATGATCAGGTTAAAATGTTTGACAGCTGAGAAGCACCCAGATTTTGTGATCGTTGTAAAGCCCAGCATTGGAACTGGGAATCTCTGAAAACAGCTGGAAGCTCAACTTGTTTGGACCTCAGTAATGACATGAAGAGTCATTCACAAACTCGGAACATTTTAAAAGAACACCACCACAGAAACACAGAGATTTAAGAAACGGACCCATTTGCTTCAGTCATTAACATTCTCTCTGCCTCCAAATTATTTTCCACAGGCTGTAACAGGTTTCAAATAAGCACGGTGAGTGTTCCAGCTCTACGGTAATGATCTCATCACTACACACCTTCAATCTGGGATGTTAGATCATCTCTATTTGGAGTTACATCTCACTCTTAATTCAAAGATGTTTAATGCTGAATAAATGTGTTTTGGGAATTGTTGGGTTTCTGTAATTAACTTCAGAGTATGGTCTGACCTGCTCTGTTTGGAAAGCGCTGTGAGACAACTGTTGTTGTGATGTGGCGCTATATAAATAAAATTGAATTGAATGTTGGTTTTGTATGTTTCTTACCAGAGTACCTGTTGGATTCGGGGTAGGATGACAGACTCAGAATAAGGTGTGGAAGCTCCTGATCCACTGTCACACACAGCAGTTCATTACATTATTTCATTTATAATATGACGTGTTCAAACTCGTTTGGATTATTCAAACTGAGATTTAAGAAACTGACCCATTTGCTTCAGTCATGAACATTCTCTCTTCCTCCAAATGATTTTTCACAGGCTGTACCAAGTTACAGTTAATATTGGTGAGTGTTCCAGCACTACAGAAATGATCTCATCGATGCACACTTTCAAT